GAATCTTTGAGATCAGAAGGGATACCTGAAGGTCTCTAGTCCAACCTCCTTCTTTTAAGTGGGGTCAACAGTGAATTCAGACCAACTTGCTCAGGGCATTTTCCAATCAGATCTTGAAAACCTCCAAGGATAGAAATATTCCACAGCCTCTCATGGTCCAATGCTTAGTTATCTTCATAGTTCAATATTACTCACAAAGTTGGTTAATGTGCATGCCATTTCCTCCTACAGGCCATTGGTAAAGATATTAAGATATTAAATAGGATAGGTCTCAGGATAAACTCCTGAGGAACTGTAGTTGTATCCAGCCTACAGGTAGAGTACAGACCATTACTTTTCAATCCCAGAATCTAGACACTTTTTTGCTTGTTTGGTAGTGAATCCATCTAGACCACAGTGGCCAAACATGGATACAAGGGTGCTGTGAAAGACCATCTTGATGATGGTTGCAACATTTGCCCTTCTCCATTCCTCTGACACTTCCCCTGATATCCATGACCATGATGATAGAAACTGGCCTTGATGTGCCGTGAGGCAGCTCTCTCAGTGCTCTCAGATGCATCCCATCTGCTCTCATGGACTTGTATGAGTCAAGATTTCTCAGGAGATTTATGAGAACAATCCTCTTCTACTGTTGGTATTTCCTCTTCTCCTTGAACCCTGTCTGTGTATGTAAAAGCCTGGGAGACCTTGTTGGTGAAGACCAGGGCAAAGAATGCATTAAGTAACTCAGCCTTATGTGTGTCTGCTGTGCTTTTGCCTTGGTCAGCCCATGTTTTCCTTGTTTATTCTTAGCCTGTAGCAGTAGAAGTTCTTGTTGAAGTGTTTCTTGCCAATCTCTACTATAGTTGAGCTTCAGCTTTTCTGACATCATCCTTGCTTGTCTAGACAATGTCTCTGCATCTCTCCTTCATAACATTTCTCCTTGCTTCTGTTTCTTTTGTATGTTCGTTTTACAGTCATGAATTCCCTTTTTACCCAAACCCTACATAAGGTAATAATAATCATAATAATAATAATAATGATAATAATAATAATAACAATAATACCTGAATAACTGAATTATGCTCTTGTGAAATCCAAGATTTGTATTCTTACCTGCCTTCCTCATTCCTCTCAGATCTTGAACAGCATTGGTTCATGTTTGCTGCGGCCAAAGCTGCCGCAGATGACCACCTCCCCAGTCAGCTCTCCCTTGTGTGTAGCAGATCAATCACTCCAGTTGATCATCTGATATTTGTGTTAATAGCTTGTCCTTAGCATCACCCACAAGTCAGCTGGATTACTTGCATCCCATTTTGCTTACATTTTAGCAGATATCCAGAGATGGGGATCTCCCATAGGAATCGGGATCTGTGATCTGCAGATGGCCTCAAATTGCTCAAAAATACTTTTTCCACTTCCTCCTGATCAAGTAGTCTTTAACAAACTCACACCGTGATGTTATTCTTGCTGGCTTCTCCTCTGATCATGGCCCATCAGCTCTCAGTCAGTCTACTGCCTGTTTTACAGAAGACCTCCATATTTTTGAGCTGTTTCAGGTATTCATGTCTGCATCAAAATGGGCTTCCAGATAGGGGTGAAAGACCCAGATAAGTGCTGCCACCAAGGAGTCCACAGCAAGGACTCAAGAGTTACATATTCTCCTTGGCCAGCATGTCCTCTGGCTGGCCATTCCATACACAGAGCTTGAAATTCAGCGTAGCATCATGCAGTTGAGGGCTATGAAAAGGAGATGGAGGGCAAGGGAGGAGAGTTTAGGAAAAATATTAGTAGGCACACTGCTAATTTTCAAATGGGTCGTAATGGACAGAAACAGTGGATATAAAGTAGTAAAGCAAGTGTTCAGGGCACCTTTTTGTCCAAAATAATACAGAAAACTGATCAAAAGGTATGTTCCTTTCAGTTTGACTAAATATTGAAAGTTTTTTTTTTAATGTTGCTTTCATAATACTCTATAAACAAGCTCTTTAAGAGTGAGATTTTCAGAAAAGGAACTTGAAGTGAAGGGAGAAATCTGTTCATAACTTCCCCTCTTGTGCCTGGGTATTTGAACATCTGGAATGTAATGCGGCCTGTTGTAATACCTCTGCAATACTGTAACACAGCAGGATGCATTAATGAGAGTTTCAACCTTAAACCCACAACATCAATGAAATTTATAGTTGTCAGGCCATTAACATTATTCAAACATAGTTTTTGTGGTTTCAGTTCCCATTTTACATTCACATAGGAAGAAAAGTCATTGGGTTGACTAGCCATGAAGACAGAGTCCTCCTTAGACTTGAAATTTCTGTAGAACAATTAAATATTGTTTATTACTCTTGACAGCATTCATCGTATGCAGTACAGGGTGGGGTAAGGATATTTGAATTAAAAATTGTAATAGTATCACTCTCTTTATATTTCAGCTGGTTTAATGTTCTTGAACACTAAAAGTGTCTTGTTCACGTTTTGGAAAATACCACAAAAATATTAAATGCAGAAAAGAAAAGTTTACATAAAATCCTAGTATCATCTTCTACGGTCATATAGGTGCCATCTGATATTCTTCCTGATGGGTAAATTTGTCTTCAGACGTTTCATGTTTCCCTACTCTTGTATCTCAGTGTGTTCTTTGACTTAACATGTAGAGCAAGTTAGATAAAGAGCACAAAAAAGAACAGAGAATTTCTTGAGGGCAAAAATTTTGGTGAAAAAATGTGGTGAGCACTGTGATTAAGTCACTCTGCAAAAAAATGAAATTGTTAAATCTGCAACTGATTAAGTTGAAGGAAAAGAAGGGAAGTTGATATGTAAAAAGTGCACGTATGGTTACTCTTCCTGGTAAGGAAAATCCAAGTTGTTTCTCTCAGAAAAAAACTAACAAGTACACATGATTTAGAAAGCTCTTAAGTTTGGGGCGAGGGGGTCAGTTGTGTAGGGATTTTTAATATCATAGGCTTCATGATAATTCCACCACAATCTCAGGAAGTAGTAAAACTAAATGTGTCTGTTTCTTCCTCTATCTAGTCTGGGTATTAACAGCTTCCCCATGTTTTGTCCCTTAAAGAATTTCTTCAGGACCCTTAAAAGTACAAACTTGGTCTCTGCATTTAATATGTTGTTACCTGCTGCCAAGCCTCTAATAGCTACATTCATATATTCTGTTAATCATATCTCTTTGTTCTAGAAGCCTGTGTTTTGGATTCATAATTAACTTTTTTTGCTCCTCTCATTATTTTCCTCCTATCATGGCAGCACATGACCTTCTTTTTTTTTGGCCTATTGAAAAACAAATATGTGAATGGAGATGTAACAGAAATCAGTGTATTTTGACAAAGCCTGTAATCTCTCCCTAACTGCTTCCAAATTTAAATTAGATTTTCATGTTGCAAAAGCATGAACTTGGTGTTGTAACTGAAGTCACACTGTTCCAGAAGACAATGCTGAAGCCTCATGGGCTTAAAGAGCTACAGAGGATTTTGCCTTAGGTCCCAGTGTAAGAAGAGGTGTATTTTTAATGTTAGGGGTTTGTGGTAGATATAGGTGAGCTTGGTCATTATGGTGTAATCCATATGGTCCAAAGGAAGGAATTATCAAACTGTGTATCATGTGAACTGGGAGGGGACTGGCAAACGGATCTTCTGGTTACTGCTCTGACAACGTCTCTCTGATTCAGGAGTAATGTGGGAAAACATTGTGGAGGCTGTTACGGCTTCTGTCAGTTTGGATTCAACTATTTCTAATTAGCAAAGGCATTTGTGGTCCAGATTTTGCTTGGGCCGTCCAATAACCTCCCATTTGGATCATTCTGAAAGCAAGTCAGTCATTTGAAAGGTCTTCTGAAACACTGGGGATCCTACTTGCATTTCACTACCGATTCAGCCCCAGGAGTTACTGAAGCCCTGCTTTTCAACCTGCGAAGCAGGAGGGATGGAGAGTTCCTTAGCTTGTCGCTGGCCTGAAGATGTCTCTCTGTACATGGCAGGGGGACACTAATGCTTGCAGCTGGTCCCTGCTGCCTACAGATACTTGCTTGATTGCAGAATTTGAAACACCTTTAATGCGTATCTGAAATTCAGAGGAAATAGTTTTGAGTGGTACTCTTTGCTGATTTGGTCTGCACTTATCTCCAAGACAAGATAGTTTTTATATGAATGAATAACTGTAGAAGTAGATTGAGAGGCTGTAACTCACTTTCTGGGTTTACCTTGCTGGCAACATCTTGAGTATCTGTTTTATCTGTTAAATAACTCTTCCTGAAAATGTGGGATGGAGGAGGATTGTAGTACAGTTCCAAGCAGTTTTAAAATGGCTTGAACTAAGTTCTCACAGTAGGGTTTTTTTTTCTTCTTCTCCTAAGTCTAGCGTTGACTCATTTGGTGGTGTTAAAGTGCACTTTCTACTTACCCCCAGAGGAAAGTTAGTATTCTTTTAAGTGAAACTATTTTAAAAGCAGAACACAAGCCTAAAATAAGCCAGTGTTCTCTAGAGTTCTCAGAAGGTGTAGATTTATTTACTGTAGTTAAATCATAATTAGTTCTCAGGGGATAGTGTATCTTTTAAACTGCTTTATTACCACCATATTGGTTTTCTAAATAATCAGAAACTGCTGCTCTTATATTCTGCAGTATGAACAAAAATTTGCTGTAAGTAGAAACAAATGTCTAGAATTGCTAGTTGTCACTTACTGAAGATAGTGACACGCAAAAAATAAGCACTTCAAGAAAACATGAAGAAATACAAAACGTGTGTTATCAGAAGGCACCTTAAATGAACTATGGCTATAACTTTTTCCAGTGTAATAGATACGGTAATGTTTTACGTGATCATTTTTCAGTTAATCTTTCTTTAATATTCTAATGCTTTTTGGTCAAGAATAAACGTTAACTGAAAACGGATAAATGGTAGTGCAATGTTAATGTAAAATATTGCCTGATATTTAAGCCTAGATTTTCATGAATGTAGCTTAGTGTTCCAGCTGATAAGCATGGCGGTTTTTTTTTCCTAATTGGCAGGTTAATGTTCGAGTTGCCTGAGGAGATGGGTTTAATAGCAATTGCTGTTCGACAAACACAAGGGAAAGGTGAGTAAATTTCCTTCTAGTGCTAGTAAATGTGTGTTAAACATATGAAGTAGGACATTTTAATGTAACTTAGCTGCCTTAAATATAAGTTATGAGTATTTTTTATATTATAAATTGCAGAATAATCATGTCCTCTTCTTCTCCCGCTTGAACTGTGGATTCAAACTCAAAACCTAAGTTAATAGAGACCAAAGTAAACATTTTCAGGATGTTTGGTGGCTTTTGCAGAAATGATTTAGTGGTCTTCTAGTTTCTGCCAAGAAGTCTCTCCAGTCATGGAAACTGCCATCACTACATTCAGTGTAATACAAGACAGACTTCAGAACTCCTTTTTGACTTAACTGGAGCAAGACTGGGTCTTGCCTTGCTCTGAGACAGAGGTTTCTTGAGTCTGCAGGACCTGCTTGAGCTGTCTTGTGGGCTTTCACAGATAAATACGAGTGAGTTCTGTCTCTTTCCCAGGAAGGTGCTGGCACTGATTTAAAAGCCACATTCATTTTATTAGAACATCACAGTGCCCAACCTAGTAAACTCTTCTGAGCACATATCTGCATGTAGATGGTTACCTGGCTTTCAGGACAGATTTAGCTTGTGTCAAGTTGATTCACAATGTAGATGGATTTCTAGGTGCACACACAGCACCTTCACGAATACTTCTTCACTTAAATAAAGCAGGATTTTTTGAAATGTGTATGTTACCAGACACTGGAAAAATGCTGGAAGCAAGCCATTTAGGACATTCTAGGAAATTGAGTAGCAGCATGCACTTTAAACAACTTGCTGTGTTTTGTTTTTTTTAAAAAAACTTTACACTTCAACCATTTTTCTTTCAAAATTAGTTTGGAAACTCCGTTACAGATTCTTGAATGGATACTATTGAATCTTTCTCTTTTGTAGTTGTCTACATTAAGAAAATGATCTTTTTTTTTAGAGATACTTTTTGTCTTGAGTTGAAGTTAACCTTTTTTCTCTCTCTCCCCAGGTCGTGGTGGCAATGTGTGGCTGAGTCCCGTGGGCTGTGCACTCTCCACTTTACATATCACCATTCCTCTGCATTCCAACCTGGGCCAGAGAATTCCTTTTATTCAGCACCTGGTGTCCTTGGCAGTGGTAGAAGGAGTTAGATCAATACCAGGATATGAGGTATCTCGTTCTAATTTATTGCAAAATTCCTGTTTCCATTTTCATTACATTCAGATTTTAACTGAGTCTTCTATGCGTAGAATGACTGAATGCATAATATAGTTCTTCAGCACTAATATAGTGGTAAACTTAGCCTTCATACACGCTTGATTATTTGTGTGTTTTAAGAAATCTAGTATACATATGATGAATACTGTCTTTTATTGAGCTGATTAAGTATACTGCGGTCATTTCACTCATAATCTTATGAAACTTAAGACTCAGCCTTCAGTGGTAAAGAAAATGTCAATTTTGTTTGTCTAACAATTGAGTTAATTTGTTTTGATTTTGAAGGAGTTGGGGAAGAAGAAGGGAAAATGAATAAAACTGACAAATCTTTTTCTGCTTTTTTGTTGGTGCTATTTCAGTGCCCACTTTATGCCTTTTAAAGGATTTTTCCAACCCTTGTTTAAGGTTGAAAACTGATTTCTAAAGCAAGAACTTAGCAGTATTGCTCTCAAGAGGGAATCAAGTGTCCTGTCATCAGTATTAAAATGAAGAACCAGTCTTCTTCATCACCTCATATATCTCCTTTTTAATGTTACCATTTCCTAATATTTGCTAACTATAAAACTTTGGTATTTTACAGAAGTAGTTAACTGAAGCATATGTTTCCTATATTACAGAAAATCAATGACTTATACACATTTACACATGAACTTTATTATAGCGGCACCCAGTAGCTTTGCTGTAGTTTAGGGTCTGTCAGCCTTTCTATTAAAACCTTCTAACTTCAGTGCTTCATAATTTGACTATAAAACCAAAATGCTTCAGGCTAAAATTTGCAATATGAAATATTTGGCTAGAGTGAATACTTTAACCATTTAAAATAGAAGGGACAAGAGCTAGTTTTATAAAATATGAGTCTGACTGGAGAAGGAGTTAATTTATGAATAGAGGTGTTTTTGCTTCTGTGTGCCTACCCTGGTGTACTGTGGCATTTTTTCTTTTATTCTATTCAAAAGGAAAAAGGTGACTGAACTACTAAATATTAATATAAAAATAGCATGTATCCATAATACAAGTACTGTACATAGCACATGTACATACACAGCTTGCTATGACCAAGACAAAACCACTGAATCTCTTTGACAGTACCCTAGATAGTGGATGTAAAACAGTGTTTTGAGGGTCTGGACTCAAAGACGTTAAAGCAAGGAAATTCAAAGATTTATCAGAAATTCAGTGCTTAAATTTCCCCTTTAGACTTAGGTAACGCAGGGCTTTTCTTTGTATCAGATGGACATCTGGGCCATACAAACTGCAGCAGCTGCAAGCAGTGGGCTAATTTATAGAAGAGGTTTTGTTCTTTCCTCCAAATTTCCATTCTTCTGTGGGTGTAGGTCAGAATCTTAATGATACACTTCAATGTCATTTGCTATGCTCAAAGTCCATTTCAGGAATTCCATTAGAAAATCTGAAATACCTGTGGCTCAGTTTATGGGCCAGTCATAATTTTTAGGATTGTCACAAATGTTGACTATGCTAAACTGACAGCGACTGAGACCTTTGTTCTGGGTCCTCACTGGGAAAATCTGACCACTTAACTGGAAGGTTTACTGTCATGTGGTAGTGCTGCAAATACAAATGGACCTTATCTCAAGAGAGTGCTTTGCTTTCCCATTCTAAGAACAGCAGACATCTCTCTAGTAAGCCAAGATAAGAAGGTGCTCCCTTCCCAGCCTATTTTGTGATGCCCATCATTTCTTTGACACACAGATAGTTGTGCAGTACCTTGTCACTCTGTTTTGTGACAAAGTCTCTGCTGTGCAGTTTACACCCTGAGAACACCCAGTTGACTTGGTGGTTGTTCATACTTGCTGTCACTTCAGTTGCAGAGCTAGCATCTGGTGTCTTACAGGTGTATGTTTTCCATAAGTAAGATCTACTGAATAGGTCTTTGGCAGATCTCTTGACACTGATAATACTGTTTAACTGTCTCATGCTTCAGATGTCTCAAGAGTCATCTGTAAATCTTTTCTCAGAGCCAAGGGTCAAGTTGTTTTCCATAATGACTATGAATTGGTGATACTGTCTCTTAGAGTGTTTTGATAGCAAAATCAGGTCATGTTTCCTGACAATGTATGTGTAATGGACTCCTCTCTGGCCTTTTAAATCTGCCAGGAAAGTAGACATGGACCCAGGTGCAGTTTTCACACATCCTGTAAAGGGATTTCATAATCTACAATAGGAGGGAATGCGACTCTTGTAGTTCTGGAGCACCTCCCATAATTTGCCTCTGGGGATGCAGTCATATGCAGTTTTTCAAACTACAGGAAGCACATTTGCTTTCTTTTTGTGTTTAAGTAGCCGGTGCAAAGTTCAGTTCAGTTCTGTGGTTTCAACAAAAACTTCTCTATTGCACTGAAATGGTGTCACACAGCACAGTTTGTGTTTCCAGCTCCATGGTGTTTCTTGAGTGTAGCTGCCGAAAGCGTGAATACATTTAGGACATTACTGGACTATTTACATAGTTGTGAACTGGAATTTCTCCTGTCTGCTAAATTTCCTTTCTGAAGTTCAAGATGCCATTGTCTCCTTGTCTGGTTTCTACAAAGATCCCCAAATACAGTGTTGATGTCATTGTGGGCGTACCCTGGTTGGTTATCAGCAGTGAGCCACAGCGGCTGCCACGGTTGCATCTTTCTTGAATAGATCTTCCAAATCTTTAGTAGGCACTCATGGATGTGGGCAATGGATTCTGTAAAACCTCATAATTTAGAGACTGAATATCTGTAGTAGCTTTAGTACCCCTTTTGATTGCTCTAAGCCTTTATTATCTACTCCTTTTTTTTTTTAATAAATAGACGCTTTTCTCTGACAGCTGCCAACCCCCTTAGTAAACCGTGTAACTATGTTACTATAACTTTTTCAGTAACTTTTATGGAGCACTTAAGTAGGTTCTCATTATGAAGTGCAGTGGAGAGTATCACATGCTGTGTGGCAAAGAGGTACAGAAAATACCGAACCTGGAGTGATGAATAATGTTCTTATAATCGGTAACGAAGAACAAAGTGTTTCTAAATCTATGTTTTTGTTTCTTTAGGATATTGATCTGCGAGTGAAATGGCCGAATGATATTTACTACAGCGATCTGATTAAGCTTGGTGGAGTTCTGGTAAACTCTACACTTACTGAAACAACATTTCATATACTTATTGGTAAATGCCTATTTACAAGTTTTTCTGTATTGGTTGTTTTTTTTTCTGAAGAAATTTATCAATGTCTGTATGAGTTCAAATGATAGGAGTAAGAACAAATAATGACAGTAGGCATAAGGAAATAAAGCATGACATTAAATCAAATGGAAGTACAAAAAGTAAATATTTTCATTCTTCTTAATAATTCCATATGCTTTGTGAGGAAAATGCAAATGCAAGAATCTGGGCTGGTGCAGTGGAGTTCAAAGAAAGAGCATTACAGGAGAGAGGGAAACTGTGCTCCTTAATCTGTTGCAGAACAAGTAGAATCTGCTGAAAAATGTACCCATTTTTTCAATTTATTTTTTCTAGCAAAATGACAAATAGTTGGGTAAATAACATGCCTTTTAAATCAGAAGAAAAAGAGCTATGTACACATACTAATGTTTTAATTTCTCCTTTCATCCTTTTGATACCTTTCTGGAAACTGGAATATTGTTAGTGAAGCAGCAGTGAAGTAATGATTTGATGAATTAATCACTTTCTCTAGTTCTCTCAAAAAGGAAAATTTGCAAGGTAGTTGAGAAGGCTGGGTCAGGGAGTGAAGAGTGACAATCTGCTTATCCATTGTGAAGACAAACAGACTACCTGGAAGGCTGGTTCCAAAAAGGTGGCACAGCCAATCTCAAAAAGACTGTACATGTATTTTTCAGCAAGTCCCAATGCTGTAACAGGAGCAGGCATTTAGGGGTACAAATAAGTATTGGGATGTTTCTGTTATTTCAGGTCTGATAATCATCCTGCTGTTAGTTAAGGAAATTTTTTCCCCTAATCAGCAGCAGCACAGATCTGTCAGACTGCTCAGAAACTCATCAGCAGAGCTCTAGGTTCTGGTTCGAGAAATAATTATCTGGGGTACATCTGAAAAATTAAATGGAAATTCCTTAGCAAGTCTAAAAGGCTAAAGAAGAAGATGATCATATTTTGTTCATATTTTAATATATCACAGTGGATAAATATCTTGCAAAGATCTATCTAAAGATAGATAGTTGTCAAGGTGCTGTAAATGCTAAGGTGTGAACAAGCTAAACAGCTGAAGCAGTCATCACCTCCTTCTGTGAAACACGCCCAGCCATTAAGTTTTCTGTTTAATTGTTATATCCTCATTTTGTAAATTATCTACATGTACAGAATGGAAGTCGCACCAAGACACTTAAAAAGTCTCTCTGTGCCCTGTCAACCATTTGCTGCTTCCATATGTTTTTCCAGAGCCTGTTCTGATTAACACAAGTAAAAGTGGCTCAAAAAGTAGTTCATCTTAACAAGTATATCTTTGCACATTACATATTTGTTTTGGACCTTATGTTTCTTATCCTAAACACCAAAATACTCAAATTCAAACGGCAGCTTTCTCTGTGCATGTCTGTAGGAGTCAACTTGGTGGTGAAAGGTCTGAGGTCTATACAAAGATGTAACTTTCCATCAGCTTTCTTTCCCCTGAAAGCTTCTAAGATTGAAAAGTACTTGCCACGTGCTAGTCTGAGGATCTTTTCTATCATTTCAGTGATGTAAGTCACGGAGAGTAGTAGGGGTGACTCGTGACATCTAACTTCTTGTATTAGTAGTAGCACTGAGATCAAACTTCCATACCAGGAAAGGTACACCAGATGCATCACCCCTGTCTACACTTGTGCAGATTCCTTTCCTAGACCTCGCTGTTTACGCGGCACTCATGAAGTGTATCCCATATATGAGGGTAATGATCAATATCGAAGGTCATCTGCATGGCTTCACTGCTCTGAGAAGTACCTCAAAAGAATAAGGTGAAACCTCTAGAAGGACAAACCTACCTTTTCACCTGTACCATGTGCTCAAGGCCTCACAGATGACCCAGTCGTGGTCATACTTCTAAACATGTCTGTAAAAAAAAAAATCCTTTTTTAAAAGAACTTAAGTGTTGCAGGACTTTTGGAAGAAAGGTTCTACAGAAGATCATTATACTTCATTAATGTAAGGACCAGTCTCAGAGCAGACGTAGGTAGCCAAACATAAGTGAGATGCCAGGGACAGCCAGCGTGCTTGCCCTGCAAAACCTGTGTCTGCCTCTGCGTGCAGCTAAGGCACGTCCGGACAGGGCACAGATGCTGAAGGCGAGGCTGGCTCTAGAACTGGAAGATGCATTGGCCACATCAGCACACTGCAAGGTCAGCGCTGAATGTTTATTTTTCACTCTTCTCACACAGGCCATGCAGAGATGCCGTAAGAGTCTTGAGCACCTAATATTTTTCAAATGAGCTGGCTACATTTTTGCCACCACATTTATCCCCAGGTGCTTCTGCCTCAGCTGAGCGCGTCATCGCAGGATGTCTCTGGTGGCTATTTCAGCTTTTGGATTGCTAAGTAGTGATCTCCATACGTGCACGCCTGAATGCCCTGAGCCTGCAGATGGACTCCAAGGCCCCATATGCACCCTGGCAGTACCAATCACCGTACAGTGGCCACAGTCACCCTGTCTTCACTTGCACTGTGTTTGAGTGTGAATAGCTGAGTTGGGATTTGCTGGCATGGCACAGTAATTTTTCCAGTTAATTTTCCTCTGCCTCTTTCTGATAATACATTTATCTTCATTTCCATAGGATCAATGTATTGGTACTGGTATCACTGTGGGTTTTTTTGCATGCATTCTCTGACTAGTTAAACGTCACTAACTCCTTTCCACTGAAGAGATCCTTCTTCTCATAGTTAATATTAATTACTTCCCTATATGAATAGTCTCATTAATAGCAAATTTATAAAACAGTGCATCTGGACCTTCTTGCAGCTAGAGTTGTGTCATGTCTGAACCTGATTGACAGACTGGGGTTTTATACCAAATGGCTAAGGAAAGAAAAATCCAAATTATTAGGAATAAAAAATAAACAGGTAATACAATATATTTCTTTACATCCCTCAAAGCCTGTTTCAGCAAGCTGCAAAAAAGGCCCCAAGAGCCATATTTAAATAAGAAAGGCGTTCTGCCAGCGTTATTCTATCTGGAGAAATCTCAGTGAGAGACTTGAGACTTCTAAAGGATATGCTATGGTAAGGTGGATTAAGCAAACTGGAGTCTTACCTGGCAAAGTTAAATCTTCTGGGCTTTTCAGAGCAAGCCAGACAAGACTTATCAGCTGAGTCAAAAGGCTTAGTTTTCAGAAAATGCAGTCAGCTAACTGTAGTAAACAGAAAGATCTCTTAATTAAACTGAAAGATAAAACTCCATCTTAGAGTATGATCAGTGATGTCCCCTCAGTTAGCTAATGACCTGTCAGCTTCTGGGGCATAAGAGAGTTTCTCACTTCAGTGTTACTGTAACCCACGTGCAAGTCACTACGTACCATTTTCCTAACCCTCACTGATAGGATGGTGTGTTGTTGAAAGACTGCACTAGATTTGCTTCTGTAATTCTGAGGAGGCATTTTTAGGGCAAGGAATCAAGTAAAAGCTGGGCTGAGATTTATAATTACTCAAGAAGAAAGGTTTAAAGGTGGAAGAGACTGAAGAAAAACAGCTACTGCAAACATCCTTACAGATAATTGTATCAAGTTGAATAAAGCGAAAAAGCGTTCCTGTTTACACATCCTGTCCTCTTTTGGTTTGTCTTCTTCAGGCTTTGGATTTAATGTGAATAACAGCAACCCCACCATATGCATCAATGACCTCGTCACAAAATTTAATAAGGAAAGGGGGACAAAGCTGAAGCCTCTCACTACAGACTGCCTCATTGCAAGGACTGTGACTGTGCTAGAGAGGCTTATAGAGGTTTTTCAGGAGAAAGGGCCCAACGGAGTTCTTCACCGTTACTACAAGTACTGGATACATAGGTAAGTAAAATGTTCTTTGTGAAATTTCTCTTAAGAAAGTTGGAAAGAACTCATGGATATTTTGTCTTTTTCTACTCTTTCTAGTAGATTGCCTTTAAAACTAGTGACTTAATAAAAATATATTCCCAAGTAGGATGTAATTTTTTAAAGGAGAATAAAAATAGCACATAGTAAAATCAATGGAGTAGCATGAGTTAAAGAATGCTCCTAGGTATTTGCAGTGTATCTCAAAACAAAAGGAATTGGGAATGATTTGTTTAGCTAGCATGCTGTACCCATGTCTTCAAAAAAAAATAGACTGTTTGGATTAACTCCAACTCTGTTAATTCCACAGAAGGTAATAATATCAGGTCGAAAATGCTGCTGAAAATCATTCTCTGTAAAGGACCAGTGAAGTGAGAAATAAAAATATCCTGCTAGACATTAGTCCTCTAAGCTATTTTTAATTGTTTGTGCGGTGTCCACCAATTAGTTCCTAACTGTCTGCTTCTCTTTGTTTGCAGTGGAAAGCAAGTCCATCTCCACAGCGAGGAGGGCCCGATTGCGTGGATAGTCGGGATAGATGATTACGGATTCCTTCAAGTTCATGAAGAAGGCAAGGGTGTGGTGTCTGTGCACCCAGACGGGAACTCCTTTGACATGCTGAGAAACCTCATAGTCCCAAAGCATTAAGGGTCCCCAGAGCTCAGGGCGCAGAGGAGGCTCTTTAGTATTTGGCACCAAGCAGCTAAGCTTGCTTCAAGGTGGGAAGGGTAGTTGACAGCTTGAGTTTTTCTTCTGCTGATTTTCTGGTATCTTTGTTCTTTGACGTAGATAACTTCAACAGCTGAAAAGAGGTAATGATCTCATTGCTGAAGGCCTTTATTCTTTTGTATTAACTTTAAAACACTTCTGTGCTGCCATTCTTTATAAGCATCTGTTCTTTAAAAGAAGCCTGATTGCAAAGGAATACCTTGCAATGAACAGAAATTTCTCTTCAGTTGCATAATATATTTGAGAAACTGAATTGGCTAAATACTTCCTTTGTTGTGTTTCTGTGTTTTTATGGTGCTTTAGCACAATGAAGTACAATATTTACATTTTTACTGTGTTTTTTTTGACTAAATTCTGGTTTATGCATTGTCTGCGGTGGAAACAGCTGGAAGAGCTCATCATATATTTCTGAATTACTGGGTTTACCGCTGTGTTTAGTTTCAGATCGAAGTAGAGCCATGCTGAATTGGTTCTCTATGTGGGCCTGTACAGCGGTTTACCATCCTGTCCTTTGGTCTCAGGTCTGCATCTCCACCTTGAGTTTTTGGAGTTTTCGATCAGCACTTAAGAATTGTGGCTGGTTATCCAAATTATTTCTACTCTGCTCTTAGTCAATTGGATCTGAGTAAATGATCTTGTATCGCCTTTGAGCCATAGTCTTCCAAGAGGTTTTAGGCTCACTAGAGCAATGCGTCACCTAGTTGCAATCCTCTTACCCAGGTCATTGTAGAATTCCACATCAGGTGAGGGGAGTCTGAATAGATTACAATTTAATAGTAATTCTATTGTAATAGTAATGAAGTTAAGAAAATAAATAAGAGAAAAATGCCCTGCTCTTAAAATCCCTGCTGCAAACAATAACTACAGTGAAAAGGACAAAACACGTCATTAACCTGTGTGCAATTTCTCTTTGTCTTCTCATTGTTTCTGTCGGATATCTGGTATTTCCCAAAACCCAGGGCATCTGGGTTTGCTGCTCACCATTACAAGCCAGGTGTTAACATCTGCTGACCTGCAGGGATCTCACTTTGGGGACTGGCTGTGCTGTTCCGGGTTAGGTCTCCCAGCTTGGTCGTGACTTGGTCGTGAAACCAGCGCCGAGCAGGCACCTGGGAGCTTCCCTGTGATGGCAGCTTGGTGGGTTGTTCTCCGAGGCAAAGCGCATTTGCACCAAGGGGCTTGGCCACCACAGCACTTCAAACAGCTCTCTGCAAAGGAAAAGTTTGTCATAGGTGTGATGTGGGCAGCTTCATTTCCTCCAGCAGGCAGCACTGCTGATTACGTTACCTTGTCCCTGCTGAAAGTGGATCAGCCAAATTGGTTTCCACAAAGGACTTCTGTCTACCAGCCAGAAATGGGGTTTTTAGGTTAAAGTTCACCTCATAAACAATCTGAACATGTTAGTAGATTGTTTCAGTTACAAAGCCAAGAAGTCTTAGAACAAGGAAGCTGGTCTGTAATGGTAATTCAGAGTAATCCTCACATATTAGGGTTTAGGTGGTTTGGCAGCAAGTGCTAGAAATTAAGTTGTCCCTCTTACATGTAGGGTTTTATGCTCCATATCGCAGTAAATTTGTATATGTGTCTGGCTGTCCATTCCCTGCTGCTTTGTTTTCCCCCATGATTCACATCATATGAGGCTGCACACCAACATTTCCTAGAACTGTGCAGGGGAGTGCAGACAGCTGTTAATTGGCACAGTTAAAATGATACACATGAACACCAGTTTTTCCTTTTCCCCACCAGATCCTTTCAAAACTGCTTTGGGCTGTTGATTTTTGGCAGCTACCTTTATTTCAGAATCAAATATCAGTGCATATTATAATCAAATGAAGCCTGAGTTTGAGTTAATAAAGTTTAAATAAAAAGAAGAGCCCATTTGTATATACTTATATACCAAATGTGTGTGTGCAAACACAAACCCACATCTTCCTTGTGCATCTTCTTTTCTACCTTTTCCTTCCAGCAGTTTATGAGCAGCACGTGCTGCTGCAGGTCAGCTGTGGAAAGCACGGCTCTGGGATGGTTTTTCCAACCACAGAATTTTACAAAACTTTAGATCTGTACCTCAATCGGATGTTTGTAGCTAAAATGCTCTTTCTGTTTTGGCACTGTAGAGCGTGCCTCTAGGAAGCACCTTTGATTTTGCTCGTATCCCAGATGATGAGTGCCTGTAGAGATTTCTTTTCACAACCAGGCCGTGGTTCAGTTTTTTACTTGAATTGCATCCATAAAACATGCTCTCCCTTCGCTGGGGACAACTACTGTAACAGAATGATGGGGGGGAATGATAAAACATGATCCTGTGTGAAGAAGGGCAGAATGGAGCTGCAAGCCTTCACTCAGCTGTGCTACCACCGTGTCTGAGCAGCAGGGAGATGGATGTTTTAATAGTAAAATGCTGCAATATTTCCTGGTCACTGTTGTTCCTTTTGGATTTCTTCATAGCCTTCTTAATGAACAGCTTGTTCTATTCTCGCTTTAAGTTGTAAGATTATTCCGAAATGCTTTGCATTGGAAAGAAGCTTAGCGTTGAACTTCCTTTCTGCAAATGAGAACAAACCAAGTGTGGATGTGTTGGAGCATAGGTGGGTGCTGTGGGGACGCTTTGCTTTGCCTCTGCATTTTAGTGGCCTGTTCTGTGTGTATAGACCTGCCTGTTGTCTTGAGGAAACAGCCTGAGGTTGGATGAAGGGTTTGTTACAAACCTGACCTTTCCTTCGGAAGAACTTCAAAAGGAAAATTCCTGTTGTACAGCGAACAGCTGAAGGAGGCTGTTCAGACTGTCTGAGCAGCCGTTCTGTGGAGGAAGCCAGCGAGCCTCCCTGTACTGCGCTCACCTGCAGGCAGGAAGGGGTGGAGAGCAGCCCGTAGTCTTACTGTTTTTATGCCAAACTTGGCACACCCAGCAAGCCACGATGTTTTTGTATGAAAGTCATTGCTATTGTTGTTCTTTATGTAGGACAGACAAATGCGCTGGAGAGTGTCTCTGGACGTAGGTACAGAGAGAATCAGACAACTCCAGATCCAGGAGTAATGCACTGAATGTTTAATTTCCTTCAACTGTCTCGATTAGTAAAACACCTCTTTCGTTGTGAGGCTGATGTCATGTCTTAAACTATTTTCTTGATGAAGTGCTTTCAAAAAGCATTAGTTACAGTGTCCATATTTCTGTGACTTCATTTTTTTCCTCCTGGACTGTTACAGCATTTCTCATTGTGAAAATATTTGTGGAGATTGCATATTGATAGGAAAACTGCAGCGGAGCAAGCTGGGGGTGTTGGCATGTGGCTGTGTTCAGAGAGAGCCGGGGAGTTGTGTCTAGTCAGCACCAACGCCACTGCCAAAGATTGGAAAACCTGATAATGTACTTAACGTTTGAGAGTTCAAGCAGCGCATCGCACTTCTGGTAGAAGGTTTTATGAGACTTCAGAGCGTTTTTGTTAAATATATTCAACAAATATCATCTTCTTCAAGGGCTACTACCTAGACATAATATTAAAGCATTTAATTCTTCATGCTGCTGCTTCGTTGTACAATGATGGGTTTTATTTCTTTGCTTTCTCTTTATACAAGACATCAATGGTCTAAAAAGTTACTCTCTGCAACTGCTTTGGAATATATGGTAGCCATATAAAAAAATGAAGTACAGCTTAATATCTGTCATGAAAAAGATTTGGGCTGCAAAGAGCTGATTCCTGGGGGTAACTGCTTTGATGGAAGCATTTGCATGCGTAGGTTACTGCAGTGACGCCAAAGAAATTAAATCTTAACTGAGGGAAGAACAGAGGTCAAAAAACGCCCACATGCCTCAGGCTGCGGTCACACAGCACAGCTGAGAAAGGAGAACTGCAGGGAAGAATCGTAACCTGGTGTTGTGTTTGCGTATCTTGCATTAGCGCCTTTCATTAGGGACTCTCTGCTATTTTCAGTACTCCAGGAGTCTTCCTTTAAAACACAACGTGGCTAAAATACAATAAGTAAAATCCTTGTATTTTATAGTGCATTAACTGTCAAATATAGTACGTATTACAATTGAAATAAATTTTCAAATATAGAGCGTTATTCTGTGTGATACTCGGTGTTTTGTAGTTCAAGAAGAAAGCCGACTCGCTTTTCCTTTGGCTACAGGGTTTTATTAACATTTTAACAGTTTTGTTTTACATAATAAATAAGCAAAAATGCTTTACATTTTTAGGAAATACATATATAATTCTGAGCATTAATAGGTTGGTTGTTTTGCGTGCTTTTTTGCCTACATTTGCCAGATAGCTTTTATCTGCATCATATAAAAAAAAAGCAAAATCTAATGTTCAGGAAAAAAATTGAATAATAAAATTTCCTCAGTGTTGATTTTGAAGTAGAGTTGAAAAGTTGAAAAATATACTTTGTGTCCTGTTTTGTGATTTTTAGAGAAATACTGGTATTCTGGCAGGTTTCCCATTCATTTGCACTTTATCTCAGTGCCATATTGTCCAATTGTTCACCTACTGTCCACTGTGCTTAATTTCATTAAATTATTTTAATACCCTTTTTCAAATTATGAGGCTACTGCGACCTGGAGAGGAGTCTGTTCCCTTATCACCTTATTTACGTTGTGGTGGTTCTGTTATTAATAGGATAAAAATTAAACCTCAGTATAGGATTACTGTTTCCAACTTTACATTTTGGTAAGATATTCCCCCTCTCACTCTCTTTCTGTCATTCTCTATATCATTTACTTGCAAGGTCTGAACTCCCCTAAGAGTTACCATCCTATCAAGTCGCCTGACAAAGGTACCTGTAGTGGCTTAGACAAGTACAGTAGAGAGAAATGAGGTTATTTTTCATAATATATTCCAATTCACACTCCACTTCTGTGACATGATTTTTTCCAATTACTAAGAGCATTGCCACTGTCGATGGCTGTGCCGCACTCTGCAGCGTGAGTGTGCTACGAACATCTGTAGTTTAAGTGGCTACAAGTCATATTTTTCTCTCAGTAGAATTTACTCACATTCCAGATGTGAACACGCAATTGCTGTTTCTGTTTTGGAATGGCAGGAAAAACACGCAATGTTTCACACATTTGCTTTTTGAATCGCAGCTCTTTTCTAACTCTTCCCTGTGTTATCGTGTGTGAATGCATCATTGATCCGTTATTGCCTAAAGTTCCTGTGGCTGAACATCAAATACAGTGACACGTGGGCGGAGAATGATGGAGACCTCCTCTGCTTGGGCTCTTTGAATAAAGCCTGGATTGGGAATAACAAGGTAGATGCTGGGAAAATAGTCTGTGGTATTTTACTGAAAAATTTCAATGGCATTTTTCTAACCGAAGCCTAATTTGAACATTCCCAAAAGCATGTTTTTATAGTGAGAAGTACTTACAAGAACAGAAAAATAAACCAGGGTGACTGTGTGCAGCAATGCCACTAATGAGGCATAAAGCGTAGTATGAGGATTGTGCATCAGGTTTCTTTTTAATGATGCAAACAATGTCGGTTACTCCTTTATAGGGCATGGTTTTAATTTATGAAAATTAACTTACAAGCCCTAACATAACTGTATCCTTTAAGGAGTTGGGCCTGTTTAGTAGTGACACTGGCTGAGAAGGCTGTCCAACCTCAGCCACTGGAAAGCCAACTTGGGTCTCATCACTTCAATCCATAAAGCCAGGATGGCTTTTATGTATCGTATTCACTCACAACATTTCTGTAGGCTTGCTGACTTCTCTAGCATTTGGTGAACCAAGGAACGTAGTTACATGGAGTGAGTGAACGTGCTGCTCTTCTGGTAATGACTGACTAGGTGGTTTTTGTTACATTTATCACAATAGATATTTTTCATGCTTTTTTTAGCAAATGAATGTCTGAACTGTGAGCTTCCAAGTGAACATCAACTTAACTTTCTAATAAAGCCTGTTAACCTTTTAATAGGAAGCAAAAGAAATACTGAAAGTTGTTTTCAAACATAGGTTTTGAGAGTATTTTTATGCATTCAGGGAGGTGACCAAATATTGCTGCATATAAAAGATGGAGAACACGTAATTTAAAAGATGTGTTTCATTACATTTTTATCCGGGAAGCTGCAATCCATGAGCATGTGTTATTTCATATTGCACAAGCCAGGTAAGCATTTTCTATAGCAAAGGTCTCTTTAGAGAGAGTCTGATCAGAGAGAGAAAGATTTAAAAATACAAACTGGCCGTGGGTTGGGCTAAAAAATACAGCTAAGAGTAGCTGACTTAGATCTGCAACAGCTTTGCTGTTGGTATTTACAGCTGTTATTTAGGGAGCCACTCGCTGTTTTATCAAGAGCACGCAAAGGATGTCTGGGGAAGTGACTGAAAACCAAAGTGGGCTGATGGTTGTCAGTTAAACACAGCAGATCCCTGTGCCTCCTCCTTTGTAAACTTTACAAAGAAGTAAAGAAAGGGGGGAAATCTGCTCCTGATGGGCTGGACAGAACGCTGAGGTGTGTGCAGTGTGCTTTTTGCTTGCCACAGTTCATTGGCACGAATTGAGATGTGTGCACAGCACTCCGTTCCAAACCCCGATGTCCTCACTCTCCTTTACCTCAGGTGCGACTTTGGGTTTTGTGGCTGGGCAGCGATGTTGGACTTCCTGTGTTCGGGTTGTCCACTGGCATTATTTGTGGAGTGCACAAAGCAGTCAAATATTAATCTTACCTTTATGGTGACAATGAGATTTATGCTTAAGGAAGCTAAGTGAGTTAAAAGCTGAACCTTTTAAACTTCAGAAGGCTGCTGGTAGGTTTAAAATAAAGCATAAACGTCCATTATTCCCTAAATGAAACATTTCTGGTGCTGTTGCTAAGGTGTATTTTTGACTACCTGGTTTGAAAAGCTGCACAGCCTTCTCCCAGTATACTCAGTGAAACACACTTTTTAGAAGTTTCTGATTTATTTAGTTTAAAAACTTTTGGATAATTAATAAAGAGGGTTTTTCTAAACTGAGTTCTGTTTAGTTAGTAAAGCTGTACTACAGATACCAAGAAACACCACATTTAAACAAAGTTCATCTGTCAAGATGTTTAGCACGTGGGTGGAGAGCTGATGTAAGGTTTCACACAGTTTGTCAAAAATACCTACACTAGAGTGTATAGTTTATGAGAATGATAAAAAAATCTTGAATGTATTGACAGAAGGAGGGGTTAAGGGAGAAAATGTTCTTCATATAAATCTCTGCATATAACACCTATCATTTAATTTTGTTGCACACTATAAAATAACAAAAATAAGATCTGTAACGTCTTCTCACTGGCACCAGAGCTTAATCTGTGACAACGAAGCATGGAAGCAAGATGTAGGTTTTTTTCCTGACCTTGAAGGTACTGTTACAGGGGCTTGCCAGGAACACGCCAGTCTGTCCCTCAGTGACCTTCAGGTATGCTCAGTAAATGTAACCATGTTTTCTCATGCTTTTTGCAAATCATTACAGTTTGGCTTCTTAATTAATTGTAAATACTCCTCTATTACCGTCACCTTCCATTGGCTATTATTACAGAAGTTCCAATATAATGGGGTAGTGCAGGTTCCTTGTGGCTTTCTGGAGAAGAAGCTGATGAAGGGCTTTGGTTTTTGTAAATAAATGTATTTACTTCCTCGGAATTGTATCCATAATTTTCTCCTACATGTCCTGTTGCTGTACATGATGAGGTTTGAAATGTACCATGTTTGGCTAAAACATGGTGATAATTTAGAAGCACAAACGGAACTTGTCCAGAGGGTCTCACATCCATCACACGTTCACTTTCAGAGTCATGATCGAGCTTTACAGTCATTCTCTCGTCGCTGTCCAGCTCATCCAGATTTGTAGCGTGGTGACTGATATGCCCGTATTTGGGTTCCTTCATACAAATCCTTCTTGTTTGCTCATACACTGAGGGCATTGGCAGGAGATGACTTAATTGTCCTATAGCTTTAGACTGGAAACATTCTGATTTTGGCAGCAGGGAGTTAGCTATGGAGTTTGAAAAAGAACTGTCATTAATGCTCATTTTTTCTTGTAGGTCTCTGTTAAAAGCTGATTTGTTTTCTTCTTTAATGAGGTGGTGAGGTGGCTGAGCCCTGGTTTCTATTTTGTTGGCTTTCATGATGCCAGATTCATAAATCTCTTCTTTGTATCTGCTGCCTGGCATGGATGCTGAGCAGCTTGTAAAGCTGTCAGACAGAGCATCTTGGCTGTATCTTCTGCTTGATATGGGCACTTGCAGAAAAGAGAAAACATGTTAATTACTGACAACGAGCTCACATAATAGTTTAACTATAACACTTTTTATGACTGAACTTTAATACCCGTTTGACCTGGGCCAGATCCAGGTCCCACTGAAGACATCAAAGATGTTCCCACTCGCCTCAGTGGCTATGGACGAGTCTCTTTAAGACAGTACTGAATAGTAAAAAAAAAACCAAACCCAGCCCGTTCAGAAGAGCCAACAGTGTTAAACAATTCTGAAAAAGTTTTCCATGTGAAATACCCATTTATTTTTCTGACTGAATAATTAAAAATCACTGTGATGATTGATATGGTTAAACTGGGGAAGTTAAACCAAATAAATATTTGGAAATGTGACCTGCTATCTAAAACCTTGGCCACAAGTAAGCCCTTCTCAGAGATTTATCAAACAATTTACCAAAGAGTGGAAAACTGTTATTACACGTCAATGATTCAGTGATTGGGGTAAACCAGAAATGATTCTGCCTGTCACTGTGGCAGTGTATTGGACACCTGCCCTTGTAAGGAAAGAGGAGAGCGTGTGGAGTTAGATACTGACGTGTCAGCATCTGATTTGTGATGCCTATTTGTGATGTGTATAGTATCCAGATTGTGTCACCTTCAAGGCTCTGCTTTTTCTCTTTGCAAAGCTAGCATCAGATATTAAAAACATCTATTGAAAAGCAACAGAAATCCTTCTGGAGTAATGTTGTCTCTCTGCTTTTAAGGTACTATCAAATAACAGTGCCGTATGTCTAGTATAAATGTAATTTGCCACTTACACTGAGAATATTTGAATGTAGGAGTACGCATGGAAAAATCAGAATCTAGATTCTTAAACTTTCAAGAGAGTATGAACCTGGGATTTCTGTTCAGGCTTTTTCTTTAAAATATATTGAGCACTCTTAGTTTTCTTTTTAGTTTCTGCGTGGTAGCTGAACTCTCGAAACAATTTGAATTGCTGCTATCGTTTTCTGCTTGGCTTATGCAGCTTTTCCTTTTTGTACACGCCTGTCTACAAATGGTAAGAGAAAAAGCTACTTTATACAGTATAAATTTTAAAAAATGAAGCAAGTACTAATTTTTTTGCAGTCTTGTATTAACAGTTTGACAGTTATACTACTCCTCCAAGGCATATTTGAAAGCTTTATGTTAAAGGTTAAATGAGGCACTTACCAAATTTCTCAAATGAAACCTAAACTCTATTTTGTGTTATGCTCACTCAAAGCCCTGGACACCTAAGTGCCCTTTGGAAAAGGGATTTTCTGTTTTTCTAAAACTTTTATTCAACATCTTAAAAGTTTTGGAGTTCCCCTGTAGTGGCTGCTGACGTAACTGTACCCGCTAATAATTAAATATTCCCTGTGCTGTAGTAGACTGGCAAAGCCTTCATGTATAACAGAGGAAGCAGAAATAGCCCAATTGTACATTTTTTTATATGCACAGCTTCATTAATTTCAGAGGGAGTTGCACCACATAATTAACACCAGAATTTAGACAGGAATCTGGATTCAATTTCTTCTTGATCAACCCACCACCCTCCTAGAAACAACAACCTTTCAAGTTATTATTTTTAATTTCCATGTGTATGTTTTGTACTGAGAAGTATATGTAGTCCTAAGTAAACTGAATTCTCATCAGCTGTTGAAAAATGGCCCTCTTAGATCACAAATCAAAAGAGGGAGTCAGCCACACGCTTGAGTATAAGTTGGAAATTTTACCCGTGTAATTATACTACTATAATTTTCACTCGACAGTTGGCATTTTTACCACAAAATAAGTGTCCATGCTGAGAGTAACTGACATATAACTAATATGGTTTGACTAATCTGGTATACTGCTTTTAGTGTTTTTCCCATGTTTTTCCCATACTGGTTTCAGTGTTTGACACATCCCCAGGAGTGAAGAGTTTGTTCTCTTAATGCAGCATGGAGTATTGTTGTTACTTTGAGGCTCTACTCTGGTCTCTGAAAAAAAGGATTGTCCTTTTCCATTTTTGGAGCCCACACTTGTAAGAAGCTGTAGCACCACAGCTACTGGTTGCCCTCTGTCTTTCATGTTTGTAATCTCAGATTCTCTTGGGTGATGGCTGCCTTCTTGGTACCAAGAAGTAATTTGCACGCTTGGAGATTTAGAAGACATCTTCCATTCTGTTCTATCTTGTTTCTCAAACATGGCTTTAATCTCTTGTTGAGGAAGAAGGTAAGGTTAGTTGTTTGCAGGCTTCCATTCAAATTGATGGCACATTCGGGGCGTTGGAGCAGACAGTTAAGCAAGTTGTGTCTGCAGTGCAATACAGCAGAGTAGATTTGTCCATTCACATTCAGAACAGTTGCTGGAGCCAGCTTCCAGCCTGCTTTTGTCTTTCTTTGCAGACAAAAACCCAAGGATGCCCTAGGAAAGGCAATTCCTCATACAGAAGTGAACAGAAAGCTGGCCCACTGCTCTGTGCTGCTGCAGAAGGCCAGCCCCCCAGGGTTGCTCCCACCCATCTGGCGTGTGGGCAGTCACCAGAGTACCTGCCCTGGCAGGTGCATGGGGATCCCATGCATTCTGCACTTCCCCAGCGCTGGAAACACTTTACAGTTGTTGAAGTTAGTGCCTTAATTTGGGATGCTTTC